GGGATAGAAACTGTAAATTATCCAGTTCCAATACTTCTCCAATACCTTCTCATATGCATCTTCTTGCTCTATATTATTAAAAATGTAGTTGTCATATGTTATTAGAACCATTAATTTGAAAATAGACATAAATCAGACCTCAAAAATCCTGCTAGACAAGATGTATTACATCCAATTATGACTATGCTTTATCAATGGAGAGAGATGGAAAGAGGGGGATGGGGGAGAGAAAGAGATAGTTTTGAAATATTATTTTATGATATAATCTTATTACAACATATACACGAAACACTCTATTACGTGTACGTAGACAGGAGTGACAATGGCACGCAGACACCGGTCGCTATGCGCACTCCATCCTTTCGTCATTCGCGTCTGAGTCCACGTCTCCTCTTCCGGCTTATCGGTTACCCGAGTCCAAGGTCGGCGGGCCTTGATGGAGCCGGTCGACGTGGTCTATACATGCCGATGGACCGGGGGAGACAGCGCGCGTGGCTGCCTGAGGGCTGCCACGGGGATGAGGAAGGGGACGAAGAGGCGCCAACGGTATATAATGATCGATACTGCTGATACTACAGCGCGGATCCCGATCGCGTGGTTTTCTCTATCTCCCCCTCCTCCTTCTTTCCTCTCCTCTCCTATCCCCTCTTCTCCTCTCCTCTCTTCTTCTCTCTCCTCTCTCTTTTTTCTCTCTCTCTCGCGCTCTCTCTTTTCTCACGTCTCTCAATCCGGAACGCAGAACGGCGAATTTTCCCTCTACCTCCGGCCTCCATTCGTTCCCGCGACTAACCTCCCTCCCGACGGCACCGGCGACGGCGCCCCCTCGGAAAAATGAAAAGGCCCCTCCACCGCCACCCGAGTTTTCCCCAGTAACGATCGGTTCCCTTGCCCGGGGTACGAACAGCAGGATTGCACGATGCGGTCCTTCCCTATCCCCGCCGCCCTACGGGGATCCCACCGTCTTCCTCGATCCCTCGTGCGATCTCCCTTCCGCGTCCCTTTTCTCCTACTTCTCCTCTTTTAGCCACAGGCATGGATCGTCACCGTCTGGTACCCGGTCCCATTTTAGTCTCATCCTCTTTCTCTCTCTCTCTCTCTCTCTCTCTCTCTCTACTCGTCTCTCTCTCTCTCTCTCTCTCTCTCTCTCTCTCTCTCTCTCTCTCTCTCTCTCTCTCTCTCTCTCTCTCTCTCTCTCTCTCTCTCTCTCTCTCTCTCTCTGTTTCTCTCTTTCGAGGCGGCGCCGGCACGAGAATTTCGCGCAAACTTAATCCCGCGAGATGGGTAACGCGATTTTGGAATATTAAATTTCAGACTATATCTGATACCTTTTTTACGCAGGTTTTTACATTTGGCAAAATTGTATATTATTGTGTTTCCGCGCTTTCGGGTTCCCTTGTTACATCTCGGAGCAGTCCCTTTTCCAATTACGGACGAAGTACATACATACGTGATGAATAATAAAGCAGACTCGATATCTATATGCGCACGTGACCGGCGAAATGAGGTGTACAAAGGGCCCGTAGATAATATATTGTGCTAGGGCAGGAATACATGGATTATGTAATGTAAATATTGCGATATTGCGCAGATGCCCGCGGAAATGTGGATAGAGAATTAATCGGCGGTTATTCGCTACATCCATCGAACTATTGTGTTTTTGTACGATAAGTATCACATAATGTAGATAATTGTAGCTAGATTGTTATTACACGATGACACGTGCGACGTGTATTTTCATGGAAATGTTATAATTATTGTTATAATTGTTATTATCGTTATCGAACGTCGTTTGATATGCGATGCGTGTTAGCAACTCCATTTATTTGCACAGTAAGCTGTTATGATTATTTTTTATTTTGATTTGCATTAATATCTGTTTATTTATATAATATTATTTTTAATATAATAATTTATTTTTATTGATATATAATGCACAAATATTATATTCATATAAATATGATATTTGTGCAAGAAATTCGGTCAGAATATACGCACTAATATTTTTATTTTAAATTTTATCGCAACACGATTTATGTAAAAATGATTAATTAAAACTATTTAGGAAATTTTCTAATATTTTGTTTTCTTCTTCTCTCGTTTTGTTTATTTGTTTTTCGTATTTACCGTAATTAGATTTTCTGTTGTATGCATATTTATCGCAACATCTATCACATTAATTATTGCAGCTATATATGATATTTATCCATAAATATTATTAATAAAAAAAATTATACACGTCAATCATACACGTAAATATTTCAGCAAATTTATAACTTTGCCACGCATATATAAATAGAAATAATTAAAAGTGTACGTATAATATATAAAATTGAAATCGCAATATCTCGAGCTATATAAATTCGTGAAAAATAACTACAATCGAAATCTTTTCTCATAATTGCAATATATCCGCGGCATAATTTTACATTGCAATCATGATTGAATGCGAAAGATAGGGTAAGAGTTGAAATAACAATTCTCTTACACAGCCCGTATTACAAAAGTAATAAAATATCGCAATATCTGTCGTATCGGAAAACGAACATTTTGTTTCTGTAATATTCATCCTAGCATTACCGTTTATATTAGCGAAGATTAAACTAAAGCGTGATGTGTTTGTTTAATCTTTAATAATCTTGCAATTGCTATAAAACTAGAAATGCGCTCCAGCTAGGAATCGGTATTACGTATGCCGTATAGTCGACGAGATACAGCTTTATGGCTCTCGACATACTATCGTTCAAAATTTATGTGGAAGAACGTTACCATTTACGACTTTCGCAATACTTTCCAGGACACTAACAAGATATTATATGATACTAACAAAGGGAGCTTCGCATTCTATTGTTTCACAACGCACTTATCATAAAATAAAAAGATTCTATTTACAATAAAATTTGATCGTCAAATCGCAAGGAAAATAAGAATCTGTATGCAAGTTTGCAATTTTTTTTAGAAATTGAGAAGTTTTTTACATAATAAACTAAGAAGTAACGCCATCACAAATAATTCACGCATTATTCCAAATTTATGTGACACAACCTTAACATTAGATGACGATTTATTGTTTTACGTTATACTCTACTATGGATTTTTATCAAAGGTTCGCTTCAACACATCTTAATAAAAATACGTCTTAATTCCTTTGAAATTTCATGCGATCCCGATTAGAAGACTCGTCGAAAGTTATCGCTGCAATTTGTCCAGTGTATCTTTCAAACGGTCCAGCCCTGTCTCCACCCTTCAGCATCCCCCACCGTGTCTCCTTTTCCAACCACCAGCCGTACACCCCCGCGTCTTTCGGCCGCGAGCGAGCGCGCCGGAGCGGTTGCAGTAATCTTCCGCTTTTACTACTTGCGTGCGCATCTGCGATCGGAACACGGCTGCGCGCGCTCTTCGCCGGCTTTGACTACTAGATTCTCGGCGCCCGCGCCGCGCCGCCGTGGGACAGAGAGAGAGCACGAGCAAACGGTAGCGGACTGTCAGTACGGGGCACGCTCTCGTGAGAAGCGCACCTAATTTCCGGGGAAGGATACGCTCTCATTCCCGTCGCTCTCTTGCAGTCAACGCGCGCAACTGGTGATCGATTCGCACTTCCGGCGCGGGTCGACCCCCTCCGATACACGGCAATTCGTCAAGGTCACTCGATCGAGAGCCTAAAGTAGATCGTGCAATTAGACAAAATCTCAGCAGTCGGGGAGGGGGGGGGGAGACTTCGCTCATTTCTCGCGACACATCGACGGACTTTCGTTTGTTTTGTGTACTAAATGTTAACGATATAAGATGAATTTTTTTCATTCGTACATCCCGTTCTTAATATTTGGTTGCGCTGACTGCTTTTTCGTAACGTATTGCAAAGATCAATGGAGGATGAAATCACGAGTTCAGTTTCACGCTTTTTAATGTGAGTTTTATTTTATTATTCACTGTGAAACAAGTTATTATCAAAATTTTGTTTTAACATCTCTCGTGTTTCGTTTATTAAATTGGAGTTATCTGTTGAAGATCGTTTTGCGATGTGACTAGCATGAAACAGATTAACATCAAGGGAATGCTCCATCGCCCACAAATCACCTTCAATTACATTTAATCGATTTGCCACAACAGAGACATGCAAACCTTCCGGAAGGAATCTCCAGTGAGCTTTTATAAATAATATATCAAGAGAGAAAATATATTTCATAGACAGAACTCGAATCCACGGCGAGGATGTAGGCGGAGACATTAAAGTTTAATAAATGAAAAAGTGGCCGACATTGGCAGTTTGATATAAATGTGCCGGTTCATAAACAATTTAAGCGCTCGGAATATCTGAAGAACATAAAAATCCATCTGATCGATACGATCCGTCTCGTATAGATCCGTGAGAGAAGTAAAATATATCTATTTTTAATATTTTTATGAATATTAAAAAATGTAATATATTGAACAAATTACGAACAAACTTAAAGAAATATTATAACATCTTTAAATAAGACTGTCGTGCTCGTGGATATAAAAGTATAAGTAAATAAAAATTTTAAAAATCGCCATTATACGTACATTTTGTATCTGCATACTTCAATCTTTGCAATGTTATATTTTTGTTTGCGGATTTTGAGTAAATCCTTGTTGCAACATAAATTGCAAGCGTGCAAAACTCGTGAAAAATTCCGATGACCGAATTCTTTATGCGTCCGTTTCTACTTGTGAGCAACTCTTGCAGAGAATGCGATGCAAATTCCAGAAGCCCGTCTATGCAGCGTTCCATGGAAAAGTTTGAAATTGCGCGAAACCCTGCAAACAATTTCGGTCGATCGAGAACTCTTAATCCCGGATATATTTAAAACGAGACAAAGCATTTTGAATAGCTCGGAGCAAATTATTTTCGAAGATAAATTAGAAAAGTTCTAGTTATAAAATTTGATTAACTTTGCATATACTTTTACCAATAAACGTCATTAAGAATTATTGCATTTTATTCTTATTACAAGTTAATTAGTTAATATTTTTAAAAAAATACTCAATTTAATTATACTAATTTAATATTTTTAATACTTCAACAAACAATAATGATGTACATAAATATTATGCGGAAAATCATTACTGCGAAAATACTGATATTTATTTTAACGGTAATGAGTGTTTCACAGTAAAATATCGAGCCGCGTGCAATTAGAGACGTATTTAAACCCAGCGAAAAGTTAAATCATATTCCTGAAAAGCTTAATTTTAAAAAGGTCTAGCACTTTAATCCCGCTCAAAGCGGATTTCTAATCTCGAAGTAACTTTTTACTTCTCCTAAAAAAGAGAAACATGTGTTTGACGAAATTTCATTTTATCAAATCTACACTCGCCCGCGATACTTTCGAATATTGCACCATTATGTTCTGATTTGAATCAAGACAGCCGCGTGAAACGGAGCATACATTTTGTTCATTCCGGGTTGAAAGAAGCTTATTCGCCAGTATAGCAGGATTAACGACTAGGCGCGATTAAAAGTTTTCTGCTGAATACAGTTCGCAATACAGTTTGCACTTCTTATTGCCAGTGTGCAGCAACCGATTTAATGCGCCGTTCATTATTAGGATGCGCAACTGGTGATCGTTTTAAACTTCTGTTGTAGAGCCACTCCGATTGCGCAACTATTGCTGTCACCGAAATAACGCGCTACGTCTCTTATAGACAGATCTATCGGTCGCGCGGTATGTATATATAATATATTGCAGTGAAAGAGAGGAATCAGTATAAAACATCCGTCAATAAATAAAACGTGTGTAGTGCTACGTGGATGAACCGTTAAATAAATATCGAATGAAATAAAAATGTTGGCAAAGGTATTTTGTTGAAAAAAAAAAATAATATATATATATAGTTCTCTCGTTTATGAAAAATTTATTTGTCGCGAAAAAAACTTTTGTAACGTCATCTTAGTCGCGCCACTTTATGTGTCACGCCTACATTTTCAAAATTAACTCGATCACACTATTTGCGTCATCTATATTTCATCGCATTCATGTTTTCAAATTTCATGATATCACGTTATATGTGGCGTTGTATTGTATCATCGCATCGGCAGTTTGAAATTTAATCAAGAAAAAAATGTGTTCTTTCCGAAGCTTTTGCCATGGTTTTTACGTGGATTTTCGAACCGACTGATTGATCAATCAGTAATTTATTGACCGCTTGCACCGATCGATCCCCAACGGGTATAATCGTCCACCGGAAACGCAAGCGGACCTGCCGATCGTCGTTGTCGGGCGCGAGTAGTCGCGGAAGGAATTGGTCGGACGTGGTACAAAAACTACGCGAAAACGAAATCTCGGCGGGAAGACATGAGCGGGGTCGGCTTCCTGGCGGCCGTGAAAACGTTCACGCCGGGCGGTCGTCGACGGCGGCGCTGCGAGAAGCAGCAGAAAGTCCTGGAGCTTCCGTCGGGCTACGGGATGCAACCGGATGTCGTGCCCCCTTGGGACGCGGCACCTCCCATCACGCCGCCCGCCGCATTTTTGCCGCCGGGCTACAAAAAGGGCTTTCCAGGTGAGCGCTCTCCTACGCGTGTTTCGAATAAAAGCGTTTTATCACTACAAAGAGAATATCCATAAGGACTAGATAAGGAGGTGTACATAGAGATATATCTACTCTGCGAAAGCGATCGTCTCAAATTCGCGTCGCTGTGAATCCCGCGCGCGTTTAATGAAGATGCGCATATCAATAATATTGTTTTTTTTTCTTTGACATGCAACATGAAAAGAAAATAATTTTTTGCCAGTGCAAATTAAAATAAAATTTTATTTAATTTTTTTGCTTAATATCGTCACCTTTTTGCGTGCAAGTAATGCCATTAGAATGTAATAGCATTACACATGACGAACTTTGCAGTGACCTTTTAATCCCTAATATTAACGGATAACATTGCTGACCAAAAATTTGCACACTAATTTGTACAGTAATGCGCGAATATCAACTGCATTAGTATTACACATGCGTATTAGCATTATAAGCTATTCATTTAATTACACTGCATTAATTACATTACATTGCACGTTGAACTTTGATCACCGATTACGATTATTCATTACTTGGTAAATCGATATTTCTATTTTTGAACGAAATTTGATCACATTTTTTTCAATTATTTAAATTATAAGAAAAAAACATTTAATTGTAATATTGTACGAATTTACAGAGGTATTGTATATACAAAAAAGTTGTTGTGTATTTTACCTAACAAAAAAGTTGTTGTATATTTGAAAATCAACAAATTACCTTTTTAAAAAAAGGTAAAGAAAAGGCGTCAAGTGCACGCAAATCTTCCAAAAAAAAGTTGTTGTATATATAACCAAATAAAAATTTGCTATATATTCTGCCTATAAAAGAGGTGATATCAGAAAATGACGCCAAGTTTAAATAAAAAACCTTTCAAAAAAAGTTGTATGTATATATTTAAAAAAAAGTTGTATATACCAAATAAAAATTCGCTATATATTCTGTCTATAAAAGAGGTGATATCAGAAAATGACGCCAAGTTTAAATAAAAACCTTTTAAAAAAACTTGTATGTATATATATTACGAAAAAGGATTATATTTATTATATTTAATTATATTTATTATATTTATTTATTAAAAAATTTTTCAAATTTAATCAAAATAAAAAAATATTACAAAATTTCGCAAAAAACTTGGCGCTGCTGTACTAAACTATTAACTTACATAAGATTTGCATCGCAATACTTTAACATGCTCCTAATCATTCCAACATACTTTAATCTATAGTATATGTGACGTAATACTATAGTTTAGTTTGGAGTATTAGAACGAGTAGGAGCATGTTAGAGCAAGCGATGCAAACAAATTTCGGCTCAAACAGACTAGAGCGACGAAGCGGCAAGTGGCGATGCTATAGCTAATCAACTTACAATTTTACCGTAAGAACAAGAGTTTAATTGGCTATCGCGTCGCCGTTTGCCGCTCTGGTCAGTTTGAGTCATTATAACACTTAATCATGTAAATTGTAAAATTATTGCTCATTTTCATTCTCTATAATATTTTAAGATGTATTTAACATGTAGTTCAGTACAGCAGCGCCAAGTTTTTTGCGAAATTTTGTAATATTTTTTTATTTTGATTAAATTTGAAAAATTTTTTAATAAATAAATATAATAAATATAATTAAATATAATAAATATAATCCTTTTTCGTAATATATATACATACAAGTTTTTTTAAAAGGTTTTTTATTTAAACTTGGCGTCATTTTCTGATATCACCTCTTTTATAGACAGAATATATAGCGAATTTTTATTTGGTATATACAACTTTTTTTTAAATATATACATACAACTTTTTTTGAAAGGTTTTTTATTTAAACTTGGCGTCATTTTCTGATATCACCTCTTTTATAGGCAGAATATATAGCAAATTTTTATTTGGTTATATATACAACAACTTTTTTTGAAAGGTTTGTTATTTGTTAATATATATACATTTTTTTGTGGAA